TGCAAGGCTGCCAAGAACACTAGATGAAGTTGCCAAGAAATAGTTCAAACACAAAGCCGTCTCCAAATACAAACTAAGAGAGTATGAACGTCCACGAGGCTTGAGTGCAAAAAAAAATTCTTTGCTTCCTGCAAAGAACTCCAGTTTCTCAGCTGGCTTTTATCTCTTAAGGGAGGGGCCGTTACCTTGCAGTCTTACTCCTGAGTCGCCCGTGCGAACCACGACAGGAAGACAATGCGAGTGTGCAAGGGCAGGTACCGGCACCTGGAGGCTCAGTGGGCTGAGATCGTCAGCCAGTTCCAGGCCACGATGCAGTCCCACCGGAATGAGGCCCTTCAGCTCTTCGCCACCAGCGGCACTTCCCTCCGGCCTTCACCCAAAGCCCCACCCCAGGAGGCTGAAGCAAACCCCAAGTTGGACTTTCTGCCCCACTCCGACCCACACAAAAAGACCACGAAGGGGGAGGCTTTCTGCAGCAACATAAACGTTCATTGCACATTTCTGGCCCAGGGGCCGTCGTTTGAAGACCCCTGATTTTGTGCAATATAAAAAAAAAATGCAAATATTTTTTTCTGCCAACCACCACCAAAATTTTCTCGTGGACTGCCAGTGGTCCACAGCCCATCAGTCGGTAACCACTGCTCCAGAACACGGAATCAGCATGGAGAAGAACCTTGGTTTGCAAAGCAGAAGAGAAATATTCTGATCATTTCTAGTCTTCCAGAAATTGAGGGAATTTGTGGCGGGGATTATACTAAAAGCTGCAGCTTCTGAGTATTTCACAGGCCGATGGCTCCTGGCCAGTTCCTGCTTTGCCCAGTGCATTAAGCCTCTTTTTTTTTCTCTTTTAATCTCTCCTTGGTTTGCAGGGGGGGGGGGGGGGCGTGTAATAGGAATTCCCCAGTTTGATGTGTCCTTTGGTAGCCACACGTTTGCCACATCGGCCAGCTGCTCATGAGCACCAGAAAGTTACAAAGCAGAAAGCAAGAGAATTCAGCTCCAAATCCGTATACACCACGGCTCTCTTTTGCATATTATTATTTTTTTGGGAGTGGGGGTTGCATATTAGCTTTGAGGAGGTGAGCAGGGGGGGATCCCTTGGATCAGGAATCCAGGGAATCAAGTTGATTCAGGTGTCTTGTTCTTTAGATGCCAGGCCTCTGTGTCTCTCTCCCCTCCAAGAAGGTGCCAGACGTATGAATTTCCAAGCTCACTGCAAAAGTAATTAAAGTGCCTATTGCAACCCACTCATTAACCGCTGTTTCCTCACTAATTAGGTTAATTGTGATCTGCAGCACCCACTCTGCCCCGTTCTCTCTCTTCTCCTCGGTTTTCCTCTGTCCTGCCACTCGCGTTTCTTTGGATAAAACCTTCTCAGAGAAATGTTAAGGAGCACATTCGTTTAAAACTGGCCACATCTGGAATTGGGCAAGAGAGCAAGGGTGGTGGGTTCTGCAGAAATTCGGCAGAAGCAGAAATGCCTATTAGCTCCTGGCTTAACCAGGAGGAAGAGGGAGAAATCTTCTGTTCCTAGACTCTCAGGAAAGACACTCTGCATTTGATGCTTGCACTCTGCACATGCTCAGAGGCATTTCTGGGTTCCAGAAAGAATAATCCTAGTTCAGGGTATCAGGGTTCCAAGTAATAGACCCATAGCAAGCAAAACTCCCAAGGCAGGTAGATTCCTCAGAGAATTATTGCATACTAGCTCCATACCCGTGCTTCGCTAGGAAGCTATGTGGTCGAGCTTAGTTTTTGGGGAGGGAACTAAGGGGGAGGGGGGGAATTCTACCTCTGCCTACCAGCATCCATTGGTATTCATCTGGCTAGCGTCTTGTCGGTGTGTGAGAAAATTGAGGGCTCTTTGGAAACTGAGACAGTATTTGCTGCGTGAGCAAGAGGGAGACAGCAAGGAGCCTGGGCGTGGCTTAGCTCAACTGTTCTGTACTAAAGCTGCTTGGTGCTGTCAAACTAAAACTGAAACTCCTCTGCTGGTGTTTTGCATTTGGAACAGATCTCTTTTGAGGTTGGGAGGGGGAGTAGAACTCCTTAGCATCAGAGCGTGTTAATAATAATATAATATGAAATACTAATGCTCCGATGGTCATTTTGAAAAATCCTTTCTTAGCACCTAGAAGCCAAGAGGAACATACGTGCCAAACTTTGATCCCACGACCATGGCGATGCTGCAATGGTCGTAAGTGTGAAAAACGGCCACTTTCTTCAATGCTGTTGTCACTTCAAATGGTCAACAAATGAATTGTTGTAAGTTGAGGGCTGCCTGTACTTTTTTTTGGGGGGGGGGCGGTCCATCATAACTTCAAATGGTCACTAACAGATTGGTTGCAGATTACCTATAACCGTGATGGCAAACCTGTGGCAAGCGTGCCACCAGTGGCACGCTGAGCCATTTGTGCGGGCACATGAGCCCCAGCCAAATTTACTAATTTTTGGCTGACTTGAGTCTGTTTTCACCCTCCTGGAGGCTCGAGGGAAACCTCTGTAGCCTTGGGAGGCCGAAAAACAGGCCTTCTGGAAATACCGAAAGTGCCGAAACACGCCAGTTTTCAGCCTTTCGAGGCTCCAGAGGCTTCCCTTGAGCCTCTGGGAGGGCAAAAACAGCCTCCCCTGGGCTCCAGAAGCCCCCTGGAGGCTGAAAACGGGCACTTCCGGTATTTCCGGAAGGCCCGTTTTTCGGCCTCCCGAGGCTGCGGAGGCTTCTCTCGAGCCTCCGGGAGGGTGAAAACGGCCTCAAACGGGCCAAAAAACCAGCTTGGAGGCACACACATGTGCAGTTCAGGAAAGGGGACGGGGCAGGGGTGTTGCGCATGCATGCGCAGGGGAGTCGGGGGGCACTGCATTGTGGGTGCCGGCACGTGCGTGCTTTCGGCACACCACAACGAAAAGTTTCGCCATCACTATAACGTGTGAAACCAAAGCTAAATTTTATATCAGTCCCTTTACATTTAAAGGAAACTTACATTTAATTAATACTGTTCCTCTCAAGCTTCTGTCACATTAAAAATAACAATCTGGTAAAGGTTTTTATTTTATTTTTAAAGATCCTAGGTGTTCTGCTTACGCAGCTCTGGGTTAGTTCTGAAACAGAATGGAAATAAAATGTGAGCTTTAACACTCTTAGTTTAATTTTTGAAATTCAAATTCTTGCACAGCTTGATGTTACAGAAGACTAGGGTGCAAATTAAAATACAAATATTTCAGAGGGTGGTGAGCATTTCAGTCTCTTGTGTACAAAAGCTTTTTACTTAGTGTTTTTTTTTTAACCCAGAAGCTGTGTTTTAGCGGCATTTTTTTGTAGTTAAACTAATGAGAGTATTGTACTGGCATGAGCAAATGCCTGAATTTTAAAATATCTTTCGGTCTGTCTTGCCTGTCTAAAAATGTTATACAATTAACAAAACCTTTAAGCCTATTTTTTCTCCAAAAAAATTAGAAAAGAGAAACCTCAAACAAACTAAAAATACGAAAGAAAGAAAAACAAGGGGAAAAAAAGTGGGGGGAGGGAATCTACATTATATTTTGTAACTTACTAATAGTTGCTGGTTTCCTAATAATACATTACTATAATATGTACAAAATGTTACCATAAAAGATGGCCAGATCTCCTCCAGAGTAACACATACTGCTGCATCCTTTGAAAATATCAGTAGAAAATATTGTCTTTTCCAAAACATAGACCCCAGATTTCTGGCAACCATTCCTTGACATCTGGAATAGTGTTACTTGTCTAATTTTTTAGTGTGATTCTTTTGCAATCCCGTACGCTTGATCCAGTCACCACGCTATAAAAAAGATGTTGAGACTCTAGAAAAAGTGCAGAGAAGAGCAACAAAGATGATTAAAGAGCTGGAGGCTAAAACATATAAAGAACAGTTGCAGGAATTGGAGATGTCTAGTTAAATGAAAACAAGAACTAGGGATGACATGATACTTGAGGGGTTGCCACAAAGAAGAGGGAGTCAACCTATTCCCCAAAACTCTTAAAGGCAAGAAGCAGTGGATGGAAATTAATCAAGAGGAGAAGCAACCTGGAACTAGGGCGAAATTTCATAACAGTGAGGACAATTAACCAGTGTAATAGCTTTGCCTTCAGACATCATGGGAGCTTCATCACTGGAGGTTTTTAAGAGGAGATTGGATTGTCTGAAATGGTATATAGGGTCTCTTGCTTGAGCAGGGGAGTTGACTAGAACAGTGGTCGCCAACCAGTGTGCCGGAGACCACTGGTGGTCCACGAGAAAATGTTGGTGGTCTGTAGAGAAGTGTCACCCCCAAAGCAATGAATCCAGGATGCACGGAAACTCAAGGCTGCACCGCCCACATGGCCCTCAGGAACACAAGGCTTGCATCGCTTGCATTGCAAACAACACGAGGTAGTGAGGGGAGGGGGGAAAGGATGCAGAGGGGAGACTTGCCCCACTCGCCCGACGCACCTGGCCTGGCCAACAGGCTGCTTCTTTCTGCTTCTTTCTTGTTCTGCTTTTGGCTGCACGCAAGGAAAGCAGCAAAAGTCTTTCTTTCTCTCCCCCAAACTCTGCCAGAAATGAGTCTTTGGGACCCTGCAAGGCATCCTGCTCCAAGAGGCTGCGCCATCACGACAAGTCTCACAAAGACTCATTTCTGGCAGAGTTTGGAGGAGAGAAAAAAAGACTTCTGCTGCTTTCCTTGTATGAAGCCAAAAGTCTTTCCTCTCCTCTCCTCTCCTCCCCTCTCCCCCTCTCTCTCTCTCTCTCTCTCTCTTTCTCTCTCTCCCTCTCCCTCTCTCTCCTCTCCCTCTCCTCTCTCTCTCCCTCTCCTCTCTTTCCCTCCCTCTCTCACTCTATTATTCCATTAAATATCTGTCTTTATAGATGTCAAATATTTAGCTGTGACAAAAGTTTAAAGAGCTGGAGTGGCTGATGCTCCCAGCTTGCATCCCTGAGCGATTGACCGCTGGAAAATCCTTGAGAATAACCAACTCACCAATGTGTCTTCTGCAGGTTGTGGGAACAGTGCTCTGAGTTATGATCTTTTCCAGCTTGGATACACAGACATCACCAACATAGATTATTCCGCTGTGTGCATCGCAAGCATGCGAGACCGTTACGCGCATTGCTCGGGCTTGCATTGGGCGGTAATGGATGCCCGGTTCTTGACTTTCATGGACGGAAGCTTTGACGTGGTCTTGGAGAAGGGCTTTCTGGATTCCATCATGGTGGAAGAAAAGGACCTCTGGAATGTCTCCCAAGAGGCCAAGATACTTCTGGACCAAGTATTAACTGAGGTTAGTAGCCTGGATCCTTGTAGATGAAACCACATGGTGGTTTCCTTGATCATTTGCAGCAGTGTTATTCAAACTTGCCAACTTTTAAGAGGTGTGGACTTCAACTCCCAATATTCCCCAACCAGCCTTTCCACTGAAAATTTCCATTGCTAAGAGAGAAAGTTGTTAGGGTGAATTTTGTGAACCCCATTGTTGTGGTTAGCCGGCAGCAGGTGCGGACGGCTGAGGAGAGCGAGGACTCAGGTGAGGGGCCAGGACCATTAGGGAGTAGACTGCTGCCTTCAGAGATTGTGGGGGCTGTCAGCAGCGATGAGGAGGTTCCCGAGGAGCCTGTGCCAAGTGCGCATGCACACAAGGTTGCTCTCAGGAAAGAGCAGCTGCAGCAGCATGGGCGACTCAGGAGTAAGGCTGCAAGGTAATGGCCCCTCCCTCAAGAGGATAAAAGCCAGCTGTGAATTGGACGTTCTTTGCAGGAAGCAAAGACGTTTTGAAACTCGAGCCTCGTGGACACTGCAGTATCTTAAGTTGGTATTTGAAGACTCTTGTGTTGTAAAATATTTCTCGGTAACCTTACCTGTTATTTTTGGCAGCCTGGCACAGTTTTGGCAAGGCTCGTGCTTATCAAAGTTTATTAGTTTGCAGCAGCCTTTTAACCGAGGATTCGTAAGAATCATTAAAAGGTTTCTGTTCCCTTTGGTTCGTGTTTGTTTTAATTGGACAAGGGTTTGGGTCAGAACACCCATTTTACCAGCTTTCTTGCCGTGAATCACTGCCGTTGTTAAGTTAGTAACACGGACATTAAGTGAATCTGGCTTCCCCATTGACTTGGCTTGTGAGAAGGTCGCCAAAGGGGATCACGTGACCCCGGGACCCTGCAAACCATCATTAATATGAACCGATTGCCAAGCATCCCAATTTAGATCACGTGACCCTGGGAATGCTGCAGCGGTCGTAAGTATGAAAAATGGCCACCATGGGGCACAAAAGGAGCCCCTGACTAGACGTTCCCTGGGCAATGATGATGTCACCAACAGATCCTTTCATCACAGAAGCACTGACATGGAAGTAGTACAAGTCACTTTTTTCAATGCTGTTGTAACTTCGAATGGTCACTAAACGAATGATTGTATGTCGAGGACTATCTGGATTTGGGGAGTTAGAAGTATTTAGAATAACAGTGTTGGAAGGAAACTTACAGGTCATCCAGTCCAACCCCCACACCCAAGCAAGAGACCCTACCCCATTTCAGACAGATGGCAGTCCAACCTCTTCTTGAAAGCCTCCAGTGATGAAGCTCCCACAACTTCTGAAGGCAAAAGCTGTTCCATTGGTTGATTGTTCTCACTGTCAGAAAATTTCTCCTTATTTCCAGGTTAAATCTCTCCTTGTTCAGTTTCCCTCCATTATTTCTTTTCTGGTCTTCGGGTGCTTTGGAAAATAGCTTGACCCCTTTCTCTCTGTGGCAGCCCCTCAAATATTGGAAGACTGCTATCCTGTCTCCCCTGGTCCTTCTCTTCACTAAACTAGCCAGGCCCAGTTCCTGTAACCGTTCTTCATATGTTTTAGCCTCCAGTTCCCTAATCATCCTGGTTGCTCTTTTTCTAGAGTCTCAACATCTTTTTATAGTGTGGTGACCAAAACTGGATGCAGTACTCTAGGTGTGGTCTTACTAAGGCTTTATAGAGTGGTATTAGCACCTCCCTTGATCTTGATTGAATAGAATAGGAATAGGAATAGGAATAATAGAGATAGGGATAGGGATTGGGATGGAATGGAATGGAATGGAGTGGAGTGGAGTGGAATGGAATGGAATGGAATGGAATGGAATAGAATAGAATAGAATAGAATAGAATAGAATAGAATAGTGAGTAGAGTAGAGTAGAGTAGAGTAGAGTAGAGTAGAGTAGAGTAGAGTGGAGTAGAGTGACATGAAGGGACCTTGGAGGTCTTCTAGCCCAGCCCTCTGCTCAAGCAGGAGAACCTATACCCTTGTTGGTGAACCTATGCCACGTGTGCTGGAAGTGGCACACAGAGCCATTTTCCCCGGCACGTGAGAGGTCCACTGCACAGAGTTGGAAGGGACCTTGGAGGTCTTCTAGTCCAGTGATCGCCAACTGGTGGGCCGCGGCCCACTGGTGAGCTGCAAAAAATTTTTGGTGGTCCGCAGAGAAATGTCACCCCCAGAGCATCCCCCAAAGCAATTAATCCAGGCTGCGCAGGAACAGAAGGCTGCACTGCCCACATGGCCCGCCCTCCCCGCCCACTCACTCCTTACCCGGTAAACTTGTCTGCTAAATTGCTATTTTTCCATCATCTGTTCTGCTGTGCTGGAAGATTTAGATTAGCTAGAAAGCAGAAAATGGTTGGATTTCTTGCTTTCTAACTAGTCTTTAGATCTTCGGCTCTGCTTTTAAGCACAGCCGAACCTCTCTTAGGACTGAAGGTTCTATTATTCAGTGCAGACTCAGGTAGCCGATGGCAGAAACACAGATGTGAATCTGTGATTCTGTGAGCAACTCAATCTGCCTGCCTGCTTTGCCTGATTTTGGGTAAAAGTTGCTCTTTTTCTATAAACAAGTTCAATATTTATATAAATATTTATAATATTTACATACAAGCCATGCCCAGCCAGTCACATGACCACCAAGCCACACCCACAAATTAGGCCACACTCACAGAACCGGTTAGTAGTCCCTGGGATTTAAAATTATGACTTTGGTGATCCCTGAGGTCCAAAAGGTTGGCGACCCCTGTTCTAGTCCAACCCCCTGCTTAGGCAGGAAACCCTATACCATTTCAGACAAATAGTTGTTCAATCTTTTTTTTAAAAAAAAATAAAAATCTTCCACTGTTGGAGTATTTACAACTTCTGGAGGCAAGTTGTTCCACTGATTAAATGTTCTAACTGTCAGGAAATTTCTCCTTAGTTCTAGGTTGCTTCTCTCCTTGATCAGTTTCCATCCGTTGCTTTTTGTCCTGCCTTCTGGTGCTTTGGAAAGAAGGTTGACACCGCCTTCTTTGTGGCAGCCCCCGTTAATGCAGTTTAGGATTGCCTTGGCTTTTTTGTTTGAGCCCAACAGGGAACACCGAAGCCCCTGCCCAGAGCTCCGCTTCTTCCTCGTGGCACAACATTGGGAAGTGCAACAAGATCCAGGTGATCTGGGCTATCCTTTTGGTGGAGATTGCCTGTGTGCCGTTCCTGACTTGGCATCATTTTGGCAGTGAGAAAAGTTTGGCCGATGGATTCCGGTGTCCTTCCAGAAATTGAGCTAGGAACGTCTAAGACTGTATTACTATTCTTCTCGTCCTTCCTATTACCTATCTCTTCTCACTTATGACTATAACCGTGTTGCTTGTATCTGTACAATTTATATTGTTTTATTTGTTTCCTAGCAAGATTTGATTGCTTATTAGTAACCTGTGACTATCACTAAGTGGTGTATCTTATGATTCTTGATGAATGTATTTTATTTTTTCTTTATGTACACTGAGAGCATATGTACCAGACAAATTCCTTCTGTATCCAGTCACACTTGGCCAATAAAGAATTCAATTCAGTTCAGTTCAGTTCAATTCTATTCAATTCTAATTCTATTCTATTCTATTCCATTCCATTCCATTCCATTCCATATTTTCTTCTCTTCTCTTCTCTTCTCTTCTCTTCTCTTCTCTTCTCTTCTCTTCCCTTCCCTTCCCTTCCCTTCCCTTCCCTTCCCTTCCCTTCCCTTCTCTTCTTCATTCTAGTATTCTGTTCTATTCTATTCTATTCTATTCTATTCCATTCCATATTTTCTCTTCTCTTCTCTTCTCTTCTCTTCTCTTCTCTTCTCTTCTCTTCTCTTCTCTTCTCTTCTCTTCTCTTCTCTCCCCTCCCCTCCCCTCCCCTCCCCTCCCCTTCTATTCCTATTTCTATTTCTATTTCCATTCTATTCTATTCACGGGGGCCCAGGTTGAGCAAGTTTCCAGGCAGAAAGGGGACCGGATCAACCACCCCAAGCCAATAAAATGTTATAAATAAATCCAAATACACTTTACAGGCCGTCAAGGAAGCCCAGCATGTTTGGTGCACCTGCTGGATGCCACCATCCTCATTTCGAAGAGATTCCCTCCATGCCAAAAAAAAACAAAACCCCAAAACCCCCCACCCGTTTCCTCTCGCCCCTCCCCGCCTCACCCCGCCCCACCACCCAAAACAAAGCACAGCTGCCTGCTGTTGCCACGGCAACACTTCTCTGTCATAAATAGCCGCTTGCAGATGGCAGGCCTTTCACTCTAATCAGGCCTCTTTAGGTCCCCGATGAAAGGTGCAGCCCCGGGGAAGCACCTGGCAGCACCTGGCAAGGGATTCGGAACAAGAAGGAACCAGCTATGGATTTGCCCCCCAAAAGCACCCTTCTTCTCCCCGCAAAGCCTGGGCTTGCAAGGGTGCAATCTGTCTCATGGGGGGGGGATTTGTCCTTTTATACACTACCCCCCCACACACACCATTTTCTCTCAGTTGTCTAACTCCCCCCCCCCTTCCCCACTTTGCATCTCATTAGCTGGAGGTTTTTTTTTCCCCTGCCCTCGGGAAGGGCTGGGGGTGGGGGAAATCCGCCAGGCTGGCTCTCCCTGTTTCCATGGCAACCCCCATCCCTGTCGGTATTGACTAGGTGGGGCGGGGGGGGGGGGGGGGGGGGGGGAGGAGGGACAAGGAAGGTTTTCTCGGGGATGCTAATTGAGCTACAGCAAACATATTGAATTTGCCTGGGGGAGTCAGGCAGTGTGTGTGTGTGTGTGTGTGTGTGTGTGTGTGTGTTCCAGGAAGGGAGAAAGATGCATTTTTATTTTGTTTCGGTCATCATTCCTGTTCTGACCAAGCAGAGGTGGTATTCAGCAGGTTCTGACCAGTTCTGGAGAACCTGTAACGGAAATTTTGAGTAGTTCGGAGAACTGGCAAATACCACCTCGGACTGGACATTTTGCAGTATCCTCCTTCCCCTGCCACGCCCACCAAGCCA